CTGGGGCTGCGCCACTCCGAACGACAATCACTGAGGCCAAGAGCGACAGATCCACTCAGAAGCACTCGTATTGAAACTCACGTACGCATGGACTGAATGCGGCTGAGACAGAACAATGCAGACATGTGTGCACATGTGTGGCCGCGTGGAATCCTTGACGGGGCTGCGTCTTGGAGACGGGGCGCTCTCTTGCGCCCTCGTCGGGCCGTATAGAGGCCTCGTGGTCTGTCTGGGACGCTCTGGAGTCCGAAAGACGAGAATGAGAGAATCACATGAGTAGCTAAGGAAAAGCATTGGATCTTACCCTTGGGGGCCCGCTGGGAGTTTTGTAGAAGCGTCCGCGATACATCGTGGCCCGCCTGGACATGTTCGTGGCCACACCCAGACAACGTTCACAAAGGGGTAGGGCAGCCAGATCCACGGATGGGCGCTCGCAGTCACACTCGCGCACGCTTAGACTCGATGCGGCTTAGACAGAACAGAGCAGACATGAGAGGAACGGGGGTGGCCGTGTGTACTCTTTGACAGAACGTCGTCCTTGAGACGGGGCTGCGGACTCTCCCAGCTGTTGAAGAAATCCCGGAGGAACTGTTGGGAAAGAGAAGAAGGAGGAGGATGGCGCTCTGGGAAAGTTTTCTGGCACGCTTGGGGCTTCTTGACAGTGTGCTGGGGGCCTCTTGCAGCGATCTTGAGAGTCTCCTCGGTCCGCTTGGGGCGTTTGGGGGGCTCTTGGGGGCCTCTGGAACCATGCTTAAGCGCTCCTGGCCCGTCTGACGCCGTCGAGATCTTTAGGGAGGACTTCGGTTCGGATTGGGGGGCTGTCTTAAGGCGCTTCGAAGCCGCTTGTGCGGCGATCTTGGACGTCTAGGAGGGCTCTGCGGCCGTGCTGTGAGGCGATCTTGGACGTCTAGGAGGGCTCTGCGGCCGTGCGGGGGCCTTGTTGGGACCGTTTTGGGGAGGCTCTGAAGCTGTTTGGGGGCGTCTTGGGCCACCATGAGGCCATCGTAAAAGGTTTTGGATGCATTTGGGGCCGGTCCAAAAGACCACTTGAAGGCGTCTGGCAGAGGGAGCGGGGGCCTCTTGAGGCATTTTGGGCTCTTCGTGCGCCTTTGTGGGGTACTATGATGGCGTGGTCCGGCCGCTGTGGATTTGCCGGGCGGGTTTCCGGATGTGATTTTATAGGATAAAGGAATGTATGTATTGGCGGTCTCGGCCTCGCGCGCAAAGACGAGGCGGCGGAGAAGGGTGAGATGCGGTGCGCGCGCAGTATGTCGCACACACACACACACACCACACACACACACACCACACACACACACTTACTTTTGACGTCGGCGGGTAGGCAGACTGACTGCGCTGGCGGAAACACACGCACACACACACACACACACACACACACACACACACACACGCACGCACGCACGCACGCACAATTTGGCGTCGCAGCGGGGTCGATGTTTGGTGGAGAGCGGAGCACGCGGGCCGGACCAGTTCGTCGCCCCCGGAAATCTTTGTGAAACCGGTGGCCCGGGCCCGTAAATCTTTATGAAACCAGGACCCTGCAACTCTGAATTTCGCAGGAATGCATGTGCCTCGGGGCACTCCACTGCTTGCTGCAGGCACGGTGCCGGGTTAGGGCGAGTCGAGACAACGGTAGCTGGCTTTCTGGGGGAGCCCTTCGTCGCTAAGGCTGCTAGGGCTGGACGCAGCTCGGAAAGCATATGCGTGTGCTGGGAGGGGTTTGGGGACCGATTTGGGGCTGCCGTTGTCCCAACTCGCCCTGCTCCGAGAAGAAAGGAGGGCGGCGTTTGCATCCCTCTCTCGTCTCTGCTCCCTTCCCCTCCCGCATTCCCCTTCCTCCTCTCAGAAGCTGGTGCTCGTCGCCCTCGCCCTCGTCGTCCTCGTCGTACTCGTCCTCGTCCTCGTCGTCCTCGCCCTCCGCCATCATCGTCCTCGTCCTCCTCGCCCTCGACCTCCTCGCCCTCGTCGTCCTCGCCCTCCGTCCTCCTCGCCCCCGCCCCCGCCCCTCGTCCCCCTCGCCCTCCGCCCCCCCTCGTCCTCGCCGCCCTCGTCCTCGCCGCCGCTCCTCCTCCGCCCCCCCCCCTCGCCCTCCTCGTCGCTCGCCCTCCGGCCGGAGCCGCACCGCTGCCGCCCGCCCGCGGTGCGCTCGGGCCGCCCGGGGCCTCTCCCCTCGCGGGGACCCCCTCGGGCGGCCGGCGCCGCCGCCGGCGTCGTGCCCCGCGCGCTCCCCGGCCTCGGGGCCCCAGCGCCGGGCGGTGGCACTGCCGCCTGGCGTCGAGAGTAGTGGCTCGGGCTGGACGGAGGGGGGGGGACTCTTCACGGCTGGACGCAGTGGCTCGGGCTGGACGGAGGCTCGGGCTGAAGTGGCAGGGGGCACCTTCAGCAACCCCCGACGTCTAGGATGCCTCTACCAAAATCGGGCCGGAACGAAAGGGGGGGATTGGGAAAGGGGGGGGTGCGAAATCTGCTGCATGCAGCTGGTTTTGGCCCCACCGAGGGGCCCATTCCCCGATAGACGGCCGCCTCCGGCGCCGGGAGGCGCCGGGAAGATCAGCTGCGCGAGCTGATTCTCCCCCCCCCTTTGCTATCCCCCCCCTTCGCCTGGCCCGAGTGGCGAAGCGTCCTGGCTTTGCCTTTTTATCGAGGGTGGACAGACCTCCCACCCTGACACGTCGATGAGGGAATTGGCCGTTTTCGGTTCGCGAGAGGGCGTCGCGGCCGTCATTTCTGCGGGTCCAGGGCCGGCGGACTCGGTCCCAGGCCGTTTTCTCTAAGGGCAGGTTTGCTAAAGGGAGGTCTGTCCGCCGCCGATTTTAGGCCCACCAGAGAATGTGCTGAGAACCTTTTTGGGCGGTCTGCACGGAGTCTTCTTGGAGCATGTCTGGCTGAGGCTGTCTTGGTTTCACACATCGAGCGCACGTTCTGAGAACGGTGGCTTGTTCTCAGAGCACGTTGGGGCTCTAGGAGAACGCTTGCGTGGTGGGCGGCCGGCAGGAAGGGCAGGACGGCTGGTCCCTGCTCGACCCTCTCCCCTTGCGAACCTCGGGCGGGTCCAGGATCGGGCAATACGTCGTGACGTCGAAGTTTGGGCTGGGCAGGGCCGAGGGTCAGAGAGCGCCCTCGGGCGGGTCTAGGATCGGGAAATAAGTCGTGACGTCGAAGTTTGGGCTGGGTAGGGCCTTCCTCTGCGGGACCACCAAGAAAGGCTTGTCGCGATGGTCAAACGCCTCGCCCGTGAAGCCGACGAAGAGGTGCAACATCCAGCCATTCGCTTCGCCACATGTCCAGAGTTGTGGCTCGACGCCAGCTTGGGCGAACAGGTTGGTTGCGCCCCTCGACGTCCGTTTGGGGTGTTCTGCAGGCCTGACGCCCCAGCCCTACTCAAAGTTTGGGGTTGGTGCGAGAGGTGCTTCCAGCGGGAGCTCACATCAAACTTCAGGATCGTTCCCTCCACTTTTCCGGCGTTCCCGTTTGGCGAGGCTCGGGTCCCCTCAACTGGAGATGGTGCCAACCCTGGCTTGAGCAGGCACCGTGCTTCGCGCGAGGGATCGGACATTTCCATCGGGCGGGGCTAGGACCGGATAAAATCGCGCAAGAGCGTTCTGGAACGCTCTCACAGCGTTCCAGAGCGCTCGGGAACGGCCGCGGCGCCCGATGCATCCTCTAGAACCGCCACAGGTCCAGGATACTCGATGAGACCCCGATCCGATTTTGGCCGAATCCTACTCCTCCTCCTCCGCCTCCTCCTCCTCCTCCGCCTCCTCCTCCTCCTCCTCCTCCCCCTCCTCCCCCTCCTCCTCCTCCCCCTCCTCCCCCTCCTCCTCCTCCTCCTCCTCCTCGGGCTTCGTCCTATAGAACCTCCCCCCCCTGCCCCCCCCCTCGCGAACCCATGGGAATCCCTGCGGGCACCCGCGCCCCCCAGGCCTGCCCCGAGATCGGGTGCCGTGGCAGTGTTTTCGCGCCGAGCCTTCTCGCCGGGCTTGGGGCCCGCGAGTCTGAAAAGTCCTCCTCCTCCCTCCTCCTCCTCCTCCTCCTCCTCCTCCTCCTCCTCCTCCTCCTCCTCCTCCTCCTCCTCCTCCTCCCTCCTCCTCCTCCTCCTCCTCCTCCTCCTCCTCTCCTCCTCCTCCTCCTCCTCTCCTCCTCCTCCTCCTCCTCCTCCTCCTCCCCTCCTCCTCCTCCTCCTCCTCCTCCTCCTCCTCCTCCTCCTCCTCCTCCTCCTCCCCCCCCCCTGCGAAGCCCCTGCGAGGAGATCGGGCGTCTTTGCAATGCTTTCACGCCGAGCCTCTTCGCCAGGCCTGGGGCCCGAGAGTCTGGAAAGCTGTTGGCAGAGTGCACGAAACGTGCTGCGCGAGGATGGCGCCTGGGGCTCTGGGCCGTGGCCGTGGCTTTTGCTCGCGGTGCCGCATCCTTTTCGCAGCGTCGGATCTCGGTCGGCGGCGGGCGAGGGGGGAGCGTGAGAGGGGGCGGGACTTCTCAGAAGGCCCAGAAGTCCACCTGCCTTTCGAGAACTTGTTCTGAGCCTTCCCCGAAGACACAGAAATCTCCTCAGGCGAAGGCTCCTGAGAAGTTCCGCCGCCTTCCGAGAAGGCCCTCTCCTTCTCGTTCCCCTCCCTCGCTCGCCGCCGAGTCTCGCGATGCTGCGTCTTCTTCGCAGCCTCAGGTCTCGGGGTCTTGCGAGCCCCTGCGAATCCTCCTCCTCCTCCTCCTCCTCCTCCTCCTCCTTCTTTTCCTCCTCCTCCTCCTCCTCCTCCTCCCTCCTCCTCCTCCCTCCTCCTCCTCCTCCCCGATCCTCCTCCTCCTCCCCCTCCTCCTCCTCCTCTCCTCCTCCTCCTCCTCCTCCTCCTCCTCCTCCTCCTCCCCTCCTCCTCCTCCTCCTCCTCCTCCTCCTCCTCCTCCTCCTCCTCCTCCTCCTCCTCCTCCTCCTCCTCCTCCTCCTCCTCCTCCCTCCTCCTCCCCCCCCCCTGCGAAGCCCCTGCGAGGAGGCGCCGGCGCCCCTGGCCCGGGCGCGGGGGTGCCGGCCACCGCAGGTGCCGCGCGGCGGCCCCGACGAAGAGCGACGAGGGCGAGCAACGACGACCAACGGCGGCGGCGGCGGCGGCGACGACGACGACGACCGACGACCGACGACCGACCGACGACCGAGGACCGAGGACGAGGACGACGACGAGCGACGACGAGGAGGGCGAGGACGAGCGATGGCGACGGCGAGGACGAGCGACGACAACTACGACGAGGACAAGGGCGACGGTCGACGAGGGCGACGAGGACGACGAGCGACGAGCGACGAGAACGGCGAGCGACGAGCGAGTGGCGGCGACGAGGACGACGAGGACTAGGGGACTCCGGGGGCACGTCGGCTGATTGCCTCGCCGATCCTGGGCAGAGCCCGGCGGGCTGCAGGGTCGGTGTCCGGTGCGTTTTCTCGGCTTGGCCTCCCATGGCTCGGTGAGGTCCGGGTGCCCCCAGTCGACGTGGTGACCACACCGTCTGGTGATCGTTTTTTCATTCATCGTTTTGCCGATCGGCGCGGGCCCTCCCCCTCTCTCTCTCGCCCCCCCACCCCAATGGAGTAGATCTTGGCTGTTTGTGGCGCCCGCTTCAAGCAGGCGGAGTCTCTCCCCCATGGGACGCACGGTTGCAAACAGTCGCATTCAGCAGGGGTCCGGAGCCAGACAACCCCCCCCCTTCCCCCTCTCACCCTCAGGCCCAATAGGCCCAATGTCGAAACGCCGAATAAGAAAACGCTCGCACTGGTGAGGCAGTGGGGACTCGGGGTCACCTCACGGTTTTGGGGCCTGGGGCGATCCCCCAGGCAGTCTCGGGCGGGGAGCGCGCAGCAGTTGCCCCCGATGTGTTCTGAGAGCTCGTGCACGGGTGTCGCCATCTCGTTTTCTCCTCCCTCTCCCGTTGTCCTTCGCTCCTTCCCCCTCCCGACCTTAACTCCCTCGTCAAGTGATCGTTGTTTTATTGTTTGTTTTGCCGATCGGCGCGGGCCCTCGCCCTCCCCCCCCTTTGGAGTAGATCTTGGCTGTTTTGGGCGCCCGTTTCAGGCAGGTAGAAAATCTCTCCCCCCTAGGACCCAGTGTTGCAGACAGTCGCACGAAGCAGAGGTCCAGAGCCAGACCCCGCCCCTTCCGCCCAATGTGGAGACGCCGAAGAACAAAAAAATGCTCGCCAACGTCTTCGGCTCACCTTGGAGGAGCGGGCGAGAACGGTCTGGCGCTGAGACCGCTTGCCGACTCCCTCGTCGGTGGTACATCGTCCCTCACATACTTACCGTACTGGTCTTTGGGGGGAGCAGAGGAGCAGTTTGAGGAAGAGGGCAAGCAGGATGACGCGCTGAGCAAAGTAGGATGCGGAGGGACGACGAGGAAAAGGGAGAGGAGTCTCAACCGATAGCAGCACACTAGGTCTGTCTCGGGATGTACGTGATCTGATTATCTTGATAATCTGGGAAAGAATACGCAACCTCTTCCTGTGACTCAGGGGCCCCTGAACATCAAACGGCAGCGGTACAGCCATAATCAAACACTGTGCTAATAACCAATGCAACTGACACTGCATACACGAATGAAAACTCAATGAAACAAGGGTGGTATTGACACGGGCAGAAAAAGGAGTTAGCACAGATACATTACAAACCACACTGCCTAAACTCAGGGTTCCCCGGACGTTTACCAGGAGACTCAAACGGCGAACTCAAACTAAAGCTGAAAATTCCAAGCTTTCGGGAACGAGACCGAAACAAAACCACAGATACACATCACTGTCACCGCAGGTCCCCTGCACAAACCAGTCAAACTCGAATGTGAAACATACCGGCGGTCGCGTCAGCGACATACATCTCCTTAATTATTTCAGCACGCCGGGCGATCGGTCGATCTCGCCAGGCAAGCTAGTCCGCGCCTCGTGGGCGCTCATCTGGGTGTGCATCACGATGCACATCAGCTCCTGCGGCATCGCCGCCACGTAGCCGTAGGCTGGGTCCCCGTCGTCGTCCTCTATCCGATGAAAGCTCCGTGTGCGTACTCGGGCAGCGGCTGGAACCTCGGCGTCTGCGCATCCTGGTTGTAGCGGCATTGCGCCTGGCACATCATGTGGCGCACCTTCTTCTGGCGTGGCTGCTTGGTGTTCACACCTGTCGTCATCATCTCGGCCCCCTCGACGTAGTGCTTCGTCGTCATGCTGGGGTTCGGCTCGGTCTCAGGCTCACGCGGCCTGATGCTCTTCTGCTCAGCGTCCGTCGTAGTCCAGCGTGTCCAACAGGTGCCGACCCAAAATCCACAGCCGAAAGCCACGAGCATCGCCATCATGAGTCCGAACATGGCCAGCTTCACCAGCAGGTTGTCCCAGCCGTCGTTGGTCGGTGGGTGGAACAGCTCGACGCCGCTGGGCGTATACTGTACCACCTCAGCTCCAGAGCCTGTCGCTCTCGTAGCCGCCAACGCAGCTGCCAAACGGGCTCCATTCGCGCCAAAATGGCGCGTCCTGGCCTTAGCCTTCGCCTTCGCCACGGGCTCCTTCTCGAAGGTGTCGAGCAACTCCTCTCCTGCCTGGTCCAGCTCCTTCTCGCGTTGCTCCATCGCGCGCTTGGTGAGCTTCTTGCCGGCCACGAAGTCGGGGTCGTAGCGCAAGGCATGAACTCCACGGCGTAACGCATCCGCCATCATCTGGCGCGCCGAAAGCTTGGTGAGCTCGTCCGTCATCTGCTGCTGGGTGTTCACCCACTTCCACCCGGCGTTGACCTCCGCCAGCTGCTCGTTCACGATCTTCATCTCGATGGCCGTCCTCTTCTCTGCGATGCCCAACCCCGCCGTAGCTGACCGCGAGGCGTCGTAGAGGCACTTCGCGTCTGTGATGAACGGTGACTCTCCGAGCTATGTCATGGCGGCGTCATGTCCGAGGTCGGGCCTCAGACTCAGGGCCAAAAAGACCTTCACCCACATCAGCGAGTCGGCTCCCATCGCCGCGGCTTGTGCCTCGGCGGACAGTGAGCTCTTGCACAACCGCACCAGCTTCTTCGAGGCCCACTCCATGGCCACGAACGGCGTCGGGGCGCCGGCGTTGAGCTCGTCCTCGGGTCCGACGAAGATCTGATAGCCTCCTTGGGAACTTCCGTCAGGTCGGCTGGCCCAGCTCGCATCTGAGTAGCCTCCAACGCGCAACTCACTCCACGGCCTGTCGAAGCCGAAGTACAATCCCACGTCCGCGTTGGCCTTCAGGAGCCGTAAATCTTTGTTCGCGTCCAGCAAGTCTTGCACCGTCGCATGTCCAGTCGATGCGGCTCTGAACGATGCCGTCGCCGCCGCGATGATAACCCCCTGGGCTGCCGGCCACTGCAGCTGGCCGTTCAGGGTCCTCAAAATTGGTGAGCTCCTTCGGCGACAGCGCACTGGTGGGATCTGCCCGCCGGTGCGTCTCCACGGTGATGGGCTTCACCGCGTGCAGGTACTTCTCGAACTTGATGGTGATCGCGTGGGAGCTCAGGGACTGCTCCACCTCGCCGCCGGTGAAGACTAGGCTCGGCCCGAACTCCCACTTGCCGAACTTGAACTTCTCGTTGAGCATGCCCAGCCGCGCCTGGAAGCACTCGGTGTCGTCCAGCTTGGCGTACAGGTCATCCTCGCAACTCACGTTCTCGCCGCAGCCGATGAAGTCGCCCGCGCGCTTGCCGATCAGCCCGTCCACCACGAACGTCTGGCCGTCGAAGCTGCGCGCGTCGAACGGGCCGTCTGGTGTACAAGCATTTCCCTCATCTCCTTCGTCGGGCTCGCGTACAGCTTGATGCCGTGGGCACTGACGTCCTCGGCCTGCAGGAACGCGGACTTCACATCCGCAGCGAACAGCCTCCACTTCCTCAAGGCCGCCCAAAGCAAGACCGTGTGTCGGCCAAGCCTGCTCAAAGTGGGCGCCTCCTTGTCGAGCTGGCCCTCGGCCACGTCTCGGTGCTTGAAACCCTGGTAGAGCACTCGCGCGTTGGCCACTCGCTTTCCGTCCTTCACCTTCCACTTCAGCAGGAAGCGTAGCGGGCAGCGCGCCGCTGGGTCCACCTCCGCCTCGTCGATGGGTTCCAGCCGTCGTTCTTGTTGAACACCTCGAGGGCCTCCAGCTTGGCTGCGTAGAACTGCTCCCGCCCTTCGGGTGCGAGCCTCCCCTCCACGATGGTGGGAGCCTTCCCTTGAAAGCCAGCATGTAGATCGTCTCGGTGGATTCCTCCAACAACATCATCTCGTCGCCCACCTCCTCGATGAGACACGACTCCTCCTGCTGCGGCGCGAGCCTGGCCCGCGACATGCGGGCGCGTTTTGCCGAGGGGATGCCGTCCAGCTTCTCGGCCTCCTCGATGCTCCTCTTGGCGGACTCGACTCGGCTCCCTCGCAGCGTTGCCACGCTCTCGCGCAGCGCTGGCCCCCGAAGGTGCGGGGTCTGGAGCCGCCTCCTCGCCACCCTCGGCTGGCTGGTGGGCCTCGGGAGCTGCCGCGGCAGCCGCTCCACTCGGCCCCTCTCGTTCTCGTCCATCTCGATCTCCATCGCGGTGTCCCTGGGCGTCGGGCTGCTGCGCGCCCATGTCGCCCAGGGCGTCGTCGTACTGGGGCCGCTGGCCCCCCTCGGCGAGGTCACTGAAGCTGCAGGTTCCCTTGGTCCGCCTCAACGCCCTCCTCAGCTTCTCGATGGTGCTGAGTGGGCTGTCGGGATCCTCGCGTCGTCCTTCTCGCTCTCGGGTCTCACTTGGCAGCTCGGGACGGAGCTGCTCCACCGTGCATCGGTAGATCGTGCGCCCGTGCGTGACCCACGCCACGGACGTGTGCATCACGTCGTCCTCGTTGACCTTCGACTCCACCGCCACCACTTACGCCGGGCCATGCCAGTGGCACTTCTCCAGGCCCGTCGACATCTCGGGTCGCCAGAAGTAGACCCAATCGCCGATCTGGCACTCGCGGCGCGTCGGCCTGCTGCGCGCCAACAGCGCAGCTCGCACGGCACGAGAGCAGTTGGCCTCGATGAAAGCCGCCCCCGCCGCAGCGCGCTCGCATCATTGCGCGCACCTCGCTCTTGGGGTCGACCAACGCAGCCTGCTCCGCCAGGCCGAAGTCCTCGTCGCACAAAGCGCCAGGTACCTTGGGCTGCGTGCCCAACACCAGCGTCGCGGGCGAATACCCGCGCGCGTTCCGTAAGATGTTCCGCTGGCTGGCGGTCATCCTGAGCGCGGTCTTGAGCGAGTCGTCGGGAAACTGCAGGTGGTACTTGCTGAGTTGCTCGCTCTTGACCGCATGGTTGCGCTCCATGAGTCCGAGCTTGTGGTGCGCGCCCTTCGGGTTCAGGTCGAGTGTGATGTTGTGCTTGCTCATCCACTGGTGCATCCTTCTTGACGTGTGCGAGCCTGCCATGTCCATCCTCATGGTGTCGGGCTTGCCAGCCCAGCTGATCCACAACTTCTGAAACAGCTACACCTCCTTCTTGAAAGTCCCCTTCGCGATCGGGTAATCCACTTCGCAGCGCGTGAACTCATCCATCATGGCCAAGATCTTTCGCCCCTTGTTCGTTCTTCCAGGTGACGTAGTAGACGTCGGTGTTCACGACCTCGTTGAACCGTTTCGCTGTCGGCAGTACAGCTACGCGCACTGCTCGAGGTCGTTGCTTGCTCAGGCAAACTTCACACTGGAAGAGCTTGGCGCACTGAAGCCACTCGGCCGGGGCCTTCGCGTGCTTCATGGCGGTCGCCAGCGCCGCGTTGGAGGGATGGCCCAGACTGATGTGAGCGCGCTTGACCTCCCGGATCGTCGACACGTTGAACCGCTTCATCAGTTCCTGCATCACGTCGGTGTATCCGATGGCGTCGATGTCCTTGGAGACCTCCTCGGCGGTGTTGATATCCTCAATGTCGTCGGCCATGCCCTGATAGGCGACCAGGTAGGCCATCCTTCGCGCCATCGGTCTCGGGTAGTTCTGAGCCTGCTGGGCAAGCTTGCCGCGCAAGGCCCCGTGCTCCTCGGTACAGCTGCATTTCATGTTCACGTGGTGTACAAGCTCCTTGTTCGCGGACTGGAGTCGCGTAGGCTTCTGGCACGGCTTAAGCTGACACTGGATCTCGAACCTCGCGCCCAGCCTGCGCTGGTCGAGCCGGCAGTGACATCCAGGTAGCTCCTGCCAGGTCTTGGTCTGCCAGTGTAGCCCTTGCCGCGGGCCTTCTACATACGCATGACGTCCACCGTTCTGCTGCTTCACAAATGAGTCCCGAACCATCTTGAGGAACGTCTCTTCCTCTCTCTGTCTGGTGAGGTTGATCTCCTTCGCGCGTTCCTCCGAAAGCTTCTCATTGACACGTTGTCAAGAGCACCAGATCCTGCATGGGGGTGCGGAGAAGATGTCATCGGGCTTCTCCTCATCGATCTCACTCAAGAAGCAGCGAATCACGCTGGGCTTGGAAAAGTCCCAGCCATCGGCCAGCCTGAACTGGATCACCTTGACCTGTGGGAACTCCAGCAGCTCCTCCGACAAAGCCCCTTGGTCCACGAAGACCTCCCAGACCACGCGTTCGCGGGGTCCTCTGAGCGTATCCCTCATGTCGGTCTCCGCTTGCTCCAGGGCCAAGATCAGGTCTGAGTAGGTGTCCGCGTCCATGTCTGAGAACCTCTCGGTCGTCAGCGCCTCGTCGTCGCTACCGATGTCGTAGAACTCCGGGGCGGTCTCGAGGTAGTAGGCATCGGCGTCTGGCACCGACGAGTCGCTGCCATCGTCGGTCTCTCCCTTCACCGAACTCCCCTCCGAGTCCTTGTCCGTCGAGTCGTCGCTGCTCTCCTCGCCGCCCGTGGGAGCGCCCTCGTTCATGGCGTCGTCTGCTTCCTTCCCAGCGCTGCCCAACAGATCAATGATGAAGTGGCCTTTCTCATCGCGCTCGGACTTCATCCAACCTTTGTCGGGGAGGTCCTTCATCATGAACGCACCTGCTCGGTAGTCCCGAATGAGACCCCACTCCTCCGCGCAGGGCCTGGCGATGAGCAGCGGCGTCCACCCCTCGACGAGGCGGGTGGCGACTTGCTTCGTGATGCCGAACGGCCACACCGACAACGTCACCGCCTTCTTCGCCTCCAGCGTCTTCCCGTCTCCGAACCTGAACCGTCGATCACTTTTCTCATACTTGACCTCGTGCAGCAACTGCTTCACGCGCAGCAGCTTCTCCCACTGCGCCCAGACCTTGTCGTCCATGACGGGCCGCGTAGCGCCTCCGTCGCTGATGCCCTTGCCGACTGTCAGCAGGAACACCTCCTCGGTCGAATTCGCGTACTCCAACGTCTCGACGTCCTCGACCATGTTGCCTGACTCGGTCTCCGTCTTGGTGAACCCGCCGCGACGGAATCTCTTGAACCTCGGGCCGCGCTGCTGCGTTGAGCCCGTCCCGGTTGATCCCGCACTCGATGCAGCCGGTGAGCGGGCGAAAAGGGTCTTCGGGAACTTGAACGCTGATGGATCTCGTCGTGGCTGACTTGATCCTTTGCCTTTGCCGCGTCCACGTCCCTTGCCTATGCCTGGGGCTCGGGCAGGTCGTGATTCACGGTAGTTGTTGTCGGGCGCCACGGCGACGATCGGGTAGAAGCGTCTGGACTTCGCGATCTCCGCCACGCGCTTCTTCGCATCCACGAAACTCAGGTAGGCCTCGTCGCGCGCGAGCTGCGCGTCCTCGACATCTTGCGGTGGCTCCTCTGCGATCTCGGCCTACTCGTCTACGTCTTCGTACTCGTACTCGTCTTCGTCTTCATACTCTTCCTCCTCCAGGTACGTGTCTTCGTAGCTCAGGCCTCGCTCCCACTCGTAGTCGTTTGTGTAATGAGCGTCGTCCTTGGCATTCTGCCCGAGCAGCATCTTCTCCACTCGTTTGATGTCACGCTTGTCGGGCAGACCCTCGGCTCCATACGTGTCGAGTAGAGCTTTCTTCACATTTTGCCAGCTGAGGCCGTCTACGCATTGACTCCGAACCTGGGCGGCACCTGACGGCGGGATCGCCGCTCTCGTGAGGAGGTGCCAGCCCGCTAGCATATCTGGAATCTCCATCCCCACTTCCTTCAGTTTCCTGAGGTCGCGCTGATGGCGTAGGCAGCACAACTTCATGGACTCCTTCTCCTGGCGGGCGAACCTGCCGAAGAACTGATCCGTCCGGGCTGGCAGCTCAGTCCAGTTGTCGTATTTGTAGTACTCGTCCAGGACCTTGAACAGCGGCCTGAAGGCCTCGTCTGTCTCTAGCAGGTCCAGGTCGATCTCCTCCGTTGCCTCGGCCGCCTCTCCTTGCAGCGAGTTCGTGACCAGGAAAGCCCCCTCGCTGATGGCGGTCGTGCCGCGCTTGCGGCAACACCTCTCGAAAACCTCCTAGCTTTCGTATGACAACTCGGTAGCCGTCGGTCTTCAGCAGCTCGTAGCTGGGCGTCGTCTTGGACAGGCCAGCATCGAGTCCTCTTCCCCCGTCCCAGGTCGAACTCTCCTGGCGCCACCAGCCTCCGCCTGTCCAGCCAGCCCACTCTTCGGCGTAGGCTGCCTCGTCGCCCTCGCTGCCGGGGACCCGGGTGGTCGCGGCAGCAGGGTCCACGCCGCTGGCGGCCGAAGCGGCAGCGGCGGCAGGAGGCGGTGTGCCCGGCGGTTTCGCCGGCGGCGGTCCTGGCGGCTTCGCCGGTCCGCGGGGCGGCGCCTCGCCGGCGGGCATGGCGGCTTCGACGGGGATGCCGGAGATGGGTGTGGATCTCCGGCTCCGCCACCAATCTCAACCGATGGCAGCACACTAGGTCTGTCTCGGGATGCACGTGATCTGATTATCTTGATAATCTGGGAAAGAATACGCAACCTTTTCCTGTGACTCAGGGGCCCCTGAACATCAAACGGCAGCGGTACAGCCATAATCAAACATTGTGCTAATAACCGATGTAACTGACACTGCATACACGAACGAAAACTCAATGAAACAAGGGTGGTATTGACAAGGAGGAGGTAGAGGAGGAGCGAAGCACGAGGACGGGAAGGACAAGAGGAGGAGGAGGAGGAGGACCAGAGTGGACTCCGGATGCGTCAACTATGTTGCAATACGCGCACCCGCCCAAGTCCCCTTCTCATTAGTCCAAAAAATAGTTTTGCAATGCTGGAGAAAGCCCCCCTTGCGCTCCGTGGTCCCTCAGGGAAGAGTCACGTTTTGAAAAGGAGCTGTCGTCCATACAGCCACGACGACTGCGACAAGATATGATCGTAAAGTCCAAGCAAGTGTCCAGCGAGTGCCGCTATTGAGAATGAGGCGGCACCATTCCGTGCACGTGTCTTTTCAATTTGAAACGCTTGGCCATGAGGCCTCGATTTGGAAATGAGCTGCCCTCCATCCATGTGACTGCTGCACGCTGTTTGAGTTTCCATCGCAATTCCAGGAATGGAGGTGGAACCGCCCCCAATCCGTTGAACTTAGTCGTGAGAAGTTTGACGACGAATGTGCGCGGCGCTAAGGAGATAGCCATACATTGAAAACGACTTAAGCTCCATCCGTGAACGTGCTGGAAGCTTCCACGACACAGGTGCGCGACGCTGAGACGAGAGCCTCATTTTGTGAAGGATCCGCCATCCGTCCATGTAGCTGTTGGAAACTATTCGGACGAGTGTGCGCGGCGCTCAGGCGAGAGCCACATGTTGAACATTGATTGCCCTCAATTCGCGCTACTGTCGGAAGCCTTTATGACGACTGTGCGCGTCGCTAGTGCGAGTGCCACATTCTGAACGGCATGTAGTTTATCCGCGTAATTGCTGTGGGGTCTGTTTGGGACGAATGTGCGTGGCGCTCATGCGATAGCCACGTTTTGATTGTTGGGAACTGTTACAACAGGCGAGAACACCATTTTGAAGACCACCACCCCTTTCCATCGTGTAGTTGCTGAGAGTTTTTACGACGAGTGTGCTCCGGGCCAACGCGATAGCTAGGATGAATTTACGCGGCGTTTCAGGCGAGAGCCACATATTGGCAACAATCCACGCCTTTCCATCCGTGTGGCGGTCGGAAGCGTTTAAGACGAATGCGCGCTGCTTTATGGCGAGAGCCATTTTCTGGAAACGACCTGTACTCCATTCATGTTGCTGCTGTTGGGAACTTTCAAGACGAACGTGTTCCGTGCTTAGGCGAGAACTACATCTTGGCAACCGCCACCCCCTTCAGAATGTGTGCGGCGCCCATGAGAAGCGCATATAGGAATTTACCTGTTCTCAATCCGTTGAGCTGTTACGAGCTCTTACGGCGAATGTGCGCGGCGCAAAGGCGACAGTCACATTTTGAGAATCGCCCATCGCTTCCATCCGTGTAACGGTTACAGATTTCAATATTGGGGGTCGTAAGTTCGGGGGACGTCTCAGGCGAACTGCAGAGCCCGCCCTACCGACACGGGGTAAGATACCAGGAAGTTGGATGAAAGAGGATGGTGGGAGATGAGGGACAACAGGATGGGGCAGCAGGATGAAAGGAACATGGTGTGAGGGAGGATGAGGAGGAGGACCTAGAGGTGCAGGGGAAGATCAGGACGACAGAAAGGTCATGGCGGAAGAGGAGCGAAGGAACATGCGGGGGGAGATGCGTGGGGGAGGAGATCCCTCCCCCCACGCATCCCCCCGCCCTTCTTCCTCGAATCCTCTTCCTCGAATTCTCTTCCTCCTTCCCAGTAGGAGGAAGAGAATTGTTGACGCTTCGAGTATCCCCACCAGCGGTCCGTAGCCTCTGGCTCAAGTGCGCCACATCGTGCAATATTATCTTCAGTACCGCGCTTGCGTGTTCGTCGATGCCGAGGTCTAAGCTTGCCTGGCTCGCTTGCCTAAGGCTGCAGACCGCGTGCGCGCTGCGTGGCATGAGCGAAAGCAGCCTTGCGCGCGTGAGTTCCACAATCGCAGATCCTGAGTGCAAGGGTCGAAAGCCGCAATGGACTCAAGACGGCCCAGTCAAGCGTTTGAAAGGGCCAGTGTTTAATATTCACATACCGGGTCCGTATCATACTGCAGGACGCCATATGTTTACAATGGCTGACAGTGTTGGTCATATGAATTGGACCAAGTACCAGAGGTGGTCAGATCTGAAGAAGGCAGAGCTATGGGAAGACATGCACTGGACCGATCTTGAGGATAGGTTCTTAGAAGGACGCAGTTTAGGTGATCTTGGCTGCGGGACCAGCAAAGCGACGATACTCAGCACTGTCGCGCGCCACCCTCTCAATATGTTTTTGCACAGGTGGTTTGCGTGCAACGACTGGAACAAACTAAAACACAATGATTCGGAGCCGTGTACTGGCGATGCCCTCAAGGCGGACAAAGTTTGTCAGCACAACGATCCTGTCTGCCAATTGGGAGATGAGCCATGCAAGTATGACAACGTCATTCTTCAAGCGTTCGCTGGAGGTGATCGTGTAAAGACCCGGGCAGATCTCGAGCTGGCCAAATCTCGATTGCGTGAGTTCGATTTGATTTTCATTGTTGAGCATTTCAGCCACACCCTTCAGCTTACCACCACGCGATTGGGATGGAGGCCACGACCACTATCAGATGCACTGAATTCTACACTTCACAAGGCTGAGGAGAAGGAAAACCAAGAACGGTTCACGAGTAGTGGTATCACTCCCGAGCAATGGCAACGAGTTATTGAGCGTAACAGTCTCGACATTGAGCTCTACGACTACATGCGCGAGCTATCTTTTGGTATGTTGCAGGCAGATGGACTCCCAGTGCCAACAGAGGACGAGCGCGCCGTTGCCCCGAAATGGGACAGCAAAGTGCTAGTGTCGAGGCGCGCAGCAGAAGCCCACATGGAATGAGGAATCCTCATGAGCAGTCTCGGAATCAGCATCCACTCTTTCTGGTGCTGTCGCATGCCCGCCTGTTGTTGCCCGTTCCTCCTCCTCAACCTCACCTTGTGATTATGATGCACCCCCCCCCTGAAGAGGAAGACGGGGAGTAAGCGGAACAGGGCCATACGCCAGGGGCCCTGCACATGAACCCTCACATTGCTCTCCCCCCAACCTCCCAGCCCTCCGTGTCCTCGTCCTTCCCCTCCTTCCTTGCCGTCCTCTGAGGAGCAGCCTGGACATCCTGCCCCCCGTTGTTCTGAAAAACACGTTTGGGCAACCCACGCGTTTTCGGCATCGGTTTTGGGCGCAAGTTTGCCACGGTCTCATGTCCCGGATCGGCCTGTGGCCCATTTGCCGTCGCTTTACCGTGTCCATGATGTGCTGTAATACGAGTACACGTGCACTAGAAGTGAAATCTCAATGGCGGTTCCTTGACGTCCATTCTGTGAGCTGCGGTTTGCAAACCGTTTAGCTTATTTCATTTTAGCTTAGCTTAGGTTCATCTGACCTCAGTTGTATCTTAGCTAGCTTACCTTCATCTTAGCTTCGTTGATATTTAGCAGAGCACAGCATAACATAGCGTAGCATAGCATAGCGCAGCATCGCATATCACTGCATGGGTGTAATTTCCTATCTAGGCTCTGCTTCGAGGGCTAGTTTGTCTTAGCTTAACTTAGCATAGCGCAGCGCTGCATTAGCATAACATAGCATAGCAGAACATAGCCAATCATAGCATATCATAGCGCATCATATCATAGCATAGAATATCATAGCATAGCATCGCATAGCGCAGCTTAGCATAACATAGCATAGCTAAGCTTAATGGGCCGGGCAGTGGGGCTCGCCCCGGGCGGTTCCCCCGGCATCCGCCCCGCGGTTCCCCCAGTGACGTTCCCTTAGCTTCGCTTTGCTTATCTCATCTTAGCTTAGCTTATGTCATACTACCTTGGCTTAGCGCCATCTTACTTCAGTTGTATCTTAGCTTAGCTTACCTTCATCTTAGCTTCGCTGAGCTTTAACATAGCATAGCATGCACACGCGCAGCACAGCAGAGCGTAGCATAGCACAGCAGCAACGCAAAGGCAAAACAACAGCAACGACAGCAAAGCAAAGCACAAGCATCGCAAGGCAAAGCAAAGCAAAAGCAAACGTAAAGCAAAAGCAAAAGCAATGTGCAACAGATGCCGAGCTGGCCTCGATGGCCGGACCAGAACCCCCGCAAGCAGTGCCTTCCGTAACCATTCCGGCTCAAGTCCGGAGGCCCCTGCCGCACAGCCGCCCGCGCTCGTGTCCCGAGGTTGGCGGCGCGAGGCGTTCAGCGGTGCTGCAGAGCCCGCCTCGGCACCAGGTGGTGCTGCACAGCCCACCCAGCCTGTTGTGGCCATCGATGTGGGCGACGTCGCGTCCAAGCGGAACGACGATGAGCGGGCTGGCGGCAGCATGATGTACACGGCTGTCGAGGATGGCTTCTGGGCGTTCGTTGTGCTCTTTGCGGCTGAGCACGGTGTGCAAGAAATGCACTTCATCAGTCGCACGACGCGGGGCACGTGGTACTCGCGCCATGCCCGCCTGGGCAGGGTAGAGGCTTGGGTCGTCAGGCTGATCCGGAGCACAGGCTTGCTCGAGATGGGGACGCCTGACGCGAACATCCACGTGGCGGCTCAGAAGAGCGGGGGGGGGGGGGGGGCGGCAAGGGCGTTGCTTCTCAGCATTTGCAGTTGACCCACATGATCGACGACGATCTCGAGTGTCTGTGGAGTGTCTTGAACGACCAGGCGGAGCAAGGGCCGCGTCATCCAGCACACGCGCATCCGCCCTGTGGATAGCTGGCGGTGGCTTGATGAAGACG